TAACCTTGGAAGCACAACACAAGGGCTCCTTAGATGAAAGTTACTCTTGAATGCTTGGAGGAGGATCAAAGATATCTTTAAAATGTGCATGCCTTCAGCACTTTGTGAAGGTGTGCCCATAAAATGGACCAAGGGGTACCTTTGCTCCAGTGACTGCCCTCCCAGGATGACTCAATTCATTTCAATCTGTCTTAACTTCTCCTTGGAGAATGTACCTTCCCACAGAGCGTGGACAAGATAAAGCAAATCCTGGTTAGTGTCAGATCCTCAGACTCTTCCTGCCTTCCCCTGGGGCCCAAACTCTTGACCCTGAAATGCCCAGATGATGCAATCCTGCTTTGCATTCCCTCAAAGGCCCTGAAGTGGAAAAATGTGACATCCTCCTAACACTTGCTAACCGCTTTCCCAGGTCATGGAGGAACGGCAGCTACCGGAGCCCGCAGTCTGTCCGGAAAAGGAAGCTTCTCTCGGAGGCATCCAAACACTACTGCTCAGGAGCTTGGTTGATTCTGTGTTTTAGTTCCAGGGTTCTTTATCTCTGTTTTCTGACAAATGGCACTTTCTCAAGGCAAGCTTCTCTCTATGTCATATCCTAGTGCTGTCCCAACTAGAGGACAGAGCTCCTTAGCTCCAGGCTGTGGAGATCTAGAAACCAGCAAAGCTTCTCTAGAAGTGTTCCTTTCCCGTTTTTCTCCAACCAGAATAATAAATATGGATCTTTAACTTCTTTTGAGGGGTTCACTTAGAACTGTTCTGAATTTTGTGATACCTTAAAAGTGGCAGAGCAAGGGGAGATTTGTAGATAAAATCAGAAGTGTGTCACTAATTCTGCAGAAATGCCCTTGAAATCATATATGGCAGTGGTTTGTCCTAGGGAGGGAAGAAATGGGCAATTGTGTGTCTAGATCTCACTGCTTGCTTGGGAGTTTTGTGGCACTCTGTAGCCTTGGCCATTGAGAATCAATAACTTCATGTGCTTAGGTGGGCAGTCACTCAATTCCATATATGTGGACCAATGTATTGTTCCCAAAGCTAATCTGGCAAAGCCTACTTCTTGTTTATATATCCAGCTTTTACTTAAAAAGCCTAAGCTTGCGGGAGAGGGAAGTGCATTTCCTATCAGAGGGTGTATTAAAAAGCCCAAGTTGGGGCCCAGAGTAAAGTCTACTCTGGCTGGTGGGGAAGAGTTTTTGAGGAGTCACATGAGGATTATAGGCCATGATTGCAAAAATGAACTTCATGCCCTATTCTAATTTGAGGGATGTTTGAAGGGGTGTTACGTGAATGTACATCTCAGCCTCACACAGCCCGAGCATCTCAAACCCCTCTCTGTGTCTCAGACTACAGAAAGAAAGCTTGCAAACACTTGGGAACACTTGCATTTGTTTACTTCCTACATGATACTTTACAGAAGAAATTCTAAGTCTTATACTCTGTAGATTAAAATGTGCCATCTCTGGAAAGTCTACAAATGTCCCCTTTATAGACTGAGGGTTGTTTATGGAGTCTCATTAGGTTGGAATACTGTTTGCTCTAATAACCCAGCTAGCACCAAGGAGCTACAGTCCTTAATCATGTAGTGACGTGGGTCCTAAAACACTGGAATCACATCTCTGTGGATTACCCATGTAAATAAATGGGGGAGGGAGGAGGTTGTAAGGTTTTGTGTTTGTGTGTGTGGGGGAGAGGCAATAGCATTCATTAACCATATTATATGACAGGGTCTCTGTTAAATGCATTTTTTTTTTTTTTTTTTGAGACAGAGTCTCACTTTGTTGCCCAGGCTAGAGTGAGTGCTATGGCATTAGCCTAGCTCACAGCAACCTCAAACTCGTGGGCTCAAGCGATCCTCCTGCCTCAGCCTCCCGAGTAGCTGGGACTACAGGCATGCGCCACCATGCCCGGCTAATTTTTTGTATATATTTTTAGTCGGCCAATTAATTTCTTTCCATTTATAGTAGAGATGGGGTCTCGCTCTTGCTCAGGCTGGTTTCGAACTCCTGACCTCGAGCAATCCGCCCGCCTCAGCCTCCCAGAGAGCTAGGATTACAGGCGTGAGCCACCGCGCCCGGCCTGTTAAATGCATTACATGCATTTTCTCATTTAATACTTAAAGCAGTCTCTCATGAGGCAAGAATTACTACCCCCATTTCATGGAAGAGAAGGCTTAGATTATTGGCAAAGCTCACAAATCTGAAAAGAAATCAGACCTGTGTGCCCAATCAATGTGTTCTGTGGTCCTTTCTGGGCAGCTAGAGAATACAGAATATCAATCCTGTCACACAGAATCTTCTAGCATTCTGCCAAGGTTGTGCAGGACTATTTCCTCTCTCTGCTCCAGGAAGGAAGAAGATTCATAAACCCATGCAAAGCCAGATTGCTGCTGGCCCACTACCTGATTATAAGCCAAACATGTTTCCCATGGCTGTTCTAAGAACAGGGGTGTGTTTTAATAAAGAGTCTTGTACCCAGGTGGCTCATAAAGATTTGTTGCAAAAATAAAATCATTTGCCAGAGCTGATGACACCATTCCCCTGTGCATGAGTGTACTCTGGGCAAGATCAAAATCACAGGGAGGCCCCCTACTCAGGTGCACCACCTCTTCCAAACAAATATTTCTTTTCCTAAGGAGTTGTGCTATTGGGTATTTACTCCCATGTTGTAAACGAACAAAACTACCCTGTATTCCTTTGGCCAGGCAGTGATAAGCATTTTTTTAGAGGAGATACTATCCTCTCTTAGTGGGGAATAGGGAACTGTCCATTCCTTTGCCGTGTATCACAACAAGTGAGTCCACTGTGCCCCACAGAATGCCCTCATGACTCAAGTATTCCAGGCCAGACCGTGCCATCCCTTTAAAGAGCACTCTGAATACAGTCATTTGTAGTTTGTAGCCATGTTTCGGAGCACACGACTGGTCCTTCAGTGAAATCAAGTCACTGTCATACTGAGATAAGACTGTCTCCTATTATAGTAATTTCTAACAAAATCCTACTTTCATCTCAAGTCACAAAATGTGGGCACAACTCTTCATAATGGCATGGTATTTCTGCCTTGTAATTCCCATTGGTGAACATCAGGAACCAGATTATTTTTCTTCAAGCCTTGCCTTTTTATTCTTGAAGTATTAAGTTTTCAAAACAATAATTCGTATTCAATCTGATTCAACAGACCGTATCTCTGCCTTCCCACACCCGTCCACATAAGTACGATAAAATAACAGATAAGAGGAAGAAAAAGGAGGGGAAGAAAGAAAGAGGGAAATGTTTATTGAGACTCAAATGGAACATTGTTCTCTTTTATGAGTTAACAGCACACAGTGTTAAGAGGCTGGTTACAAACCGACTCCAAAATAAGGACGACCCGCAGTTCACGAACAGCTCAGCCAACTCCAGTGCCACTAACTGGAGCAACCTGATATGGGGGTAAAATCATTCAGCCCAAGAGAAATTACTGATTCAACTTCATGAATATTTAGATTTATTTCCTATAAATAATACCAATATTTGCATTTTAAAATTCACATTGAATCACTGGTCACTATTTCTGATGTTACATGGCAATTCAGTATCATTCTGTTGTAGATTTCAGGTGCAGATGGTCAATATTGAGCATTTATTTCCTTTTCTGCTATCTTTGGCACAATTTCTGGTTTCTTAAATATAACGGCACAGGTTTAAGTTGGCCACACAATACTGCAGAAACATGACTATTTTGGATCTCAGGGTAAGTACAAGTTTATGTTAAGCATTATTTACAAGATGAAAACTGAAGCACAGACTTTAATAAGCTATCTTCATAAATTAGCAGGAGAATGACAAGCAGAGGGTTTTAATGAGTAGGGCCAAGATTACTATTAATAGTTAGAACATTCCTTTCTGGAGGAGCAGACAAGTATGGTGGAATAGAATAATCTCCCCTGAACCACTGATACCAGTGTCTCATGTTGTGGTATTTACTCTGCAAGAATCCAGAGTAGGGACAGCCTTTTTTTCCCTGCAATGTAACTTGTTCAACCCATGGGATCTATATTAAAATACAACTTAGTTGGTAGTTTGCCACTGTTGTTTGGGCCCTGATGGGTACAAAAGCGCAACGGTGGCAAAGTACTGCCCTCTTTAAATGGATATGAATGAACTTGGAAGAATGAAGCCTTCCAGTTGGAAAAAAGAACATTCCATTCTTTTGCGAGTGACACCTTTGTATATAATCTTATATAGATTCCCTCCAGGTAGCTCGAATCTGGAAGTTGTAAATGAATAGCTATGCTACGTTGGAGTATCACCATAATACATCTCTGATTTAGGGCTGATGATACACAGATGTGAAAGGGTCACACAACATGATTTCTCATTGTAGCGCTCCTGAGAAAGGAGTTCTGATAAGCCCTGAAACAGACCTGGGTTGGAATTGTGGTTATTATTCAAGTACACGAGAGCTCTTTATTTCACATTGACAGTTCAATTCTGATCTCTGTCTGGCAAATTATATGAAAATAATAAATATATATATATATACACACACACATATATATAGCTCTATACTGAACACTGGGTTAACAGTTACCAGCGTCCCAATACAGTACATTGAAAAAAGAACCCTCTCCCTTCCCCCCAACCCTATGCCCATCTTAAAACTGTTATTGCAGAACTGTGCTGGTCTGTTTTCTTTCAAAGCAGTTTCTTTGAAATTGGCTGAAGATGAGTTCAAAATGAACAATTTGGCACATTAACTGGGGAGGAATATTTTCAGATGCATTATAATCTATAAAAAAATGAGAGGACAAAGAAAACCCATGCCAATAGAAAGCCTGAGTAAAAATTTGTAACCAACGACAGGATATTATTTTTTTAAATCCAGAACAATGGTCTGTGCATGAGAAAGCAATTTCTCTCCCATATCCAGTAGTAATTCCAAAAGTTATTACTGTATATACTTCCAAACTTTGTCTCATAGAATTTCTAAAACCCAGATAAAACAACCTTCCTTTTAATCAATTTCTTTTCATCGTATCCCACCCTCAAATCCCAAAAACTGGAGAGCAAAGGCTGTGAATCCAAATATAGAAAATAATCTGGAGATCTATCAAATCAAATGTACAATTGGACATTAGTGTTTTTCTTTTCCTTAATTAATGTTTGAATTCTCTATGAGATGACTCTCATGGGGATGTCCTTCATCATTCCCGGTCATCTGAAGCCACGGGTTCTAGAACTGTGAGGTCTGGGTGAACGAGATGGTGTCAGACTTGTCTACAGCAAAACCTCCATTGACGTAGGACTTCTTGGTGTCTGAGTCTTCGCTATCGAGGACTGTCGATTCCAAGGCAAATGGGTTCACGATGTTGACTTCAGATGAAACATCCATCTGCTCCAGCTCCTTCTTAGAGAGCTTTTCCACGATGCCTGTCCCAAAAGCATCACCAAGGACGTTGACCATGGTCCTGAACCGGTCCCTGAGGAAGAGACAGGAGGGTCAGACAGGAGTCCTAGATTTCATTTTCCTTTGCCTTTGAACGACCAAAGGATGTGCTGTGTTCAGTGCAGATTTAAGTAAATGCAGAAAATGCTGTCCTCGTGACCGATGGACCGCACGCTCCTCACCAGCTGGGGGCAGAAGGTCGTTTGGAAAGGCACAGAATGAGCACACAGGGTCCCCCAGGTCTGTGCTCCCAATGAGTAGCAACAATTCCCCTAAATCTCCCTAAATCCCCTCCTTTCCTTCCAAAGAAATGTAAATAGAGACTTCCCAGATATTTTGGGAGACTAAAGGAGGTTCAGAATTCAGTACGTCTTTCAACCCTAACCTCTGTCTTGGGGGTTTTCCAGTTCATTACAAATGACATTGTGGGTTCTCTTTTGGCTAAGGTGAGAGAACTCAAGATGTTTTGTGGGTGGTGTATGTGCCAAGAGTGTGTGTGTTCATGGCCCTGATGTACCTATTTCTTTACCAAACTAGACAGCGCTATTTATGAACAAGCCAGTGGCAATGCCACAGAGCACAGGGTCAGAAAACACAGGTCAGCCCAGGAGTGCATTTCCCTGAGATACCCTCAGCCCCAGTCTTAAATCCCGAACTGCCTGGAGAAGAGGCGGGTGGCAGGAAGAAGTGTAGGGAAGGCACACTGCAGAGGGGAGTATCTATTTTGATACCGGCTTTGTGATAGGAACTGTGTGCATGGGTCATCTTGTGAAAACCACACCTGCAGGGCAGAAGAGGCCAGCAGTACTTACATGTGCCCTCTGGATGCCCTTCTGTTATTCACGACAAGGCCAAGCATTGAACTGGCCCTCATGTCTTTCTATCCCATGAACTGGCCCTCATGTCTTTCTATCCCATGACCTCAGACTGGACCTTCGACTCATCTGAGTATCTTGGCAGCAAAGGGCACTGGTTCCAGGAAGAACCAGGGAAAGGAGAGAAGTGCAAATCCACCATCACCACTAGAAACAGAAACCAAACCTTGCCTTGATGGTAGGGTATCTTTGCAAGAAGGATGCCCCTTGGAGGGTTCTAACTGCTGAAGTAGCCCGACATGGTACAGCTTCCAAGCCAGGTGCAGGGGCTTTTTGCCTTCTGGAATGTGCTTAAGGTCAAAAAGCAAGTAAGACAATGGATAGGGGATTTGAACCCAGGTCAGTCTTACCCCAAAGCCACTGCCCCTGATGGCTCTGAAGATGCTTGGGAAGATGGACTGGTTTTGAACCAGGTAGTTCTGAGCCTACAATGTTGAAACAGGGCTGGGATAGGCCAGGATGGCCTTGCCCAGCTTCATCACCTTATTATTCTCTGTTTATTTATCTCACCTCACACCCAGCTCCTAACCTTGAGCATTACCCAATATAATGAGGTGATACGGCTCACTGGCTTTTAAAAATCACTGTCCCAAGTTATGAGGAGTTAATTTTTAAGCACGTTATCAGATGGCCTGATCAGAGGGAAATTAAAGCAGCAACAGGTGGCTCATTAGGCAATCTGAGGGGACAATGATGACAGGCTGCAGAGTCTGCATGGCTGCCTGCCTGCCCATCCGGCTGAGGCAGTGCATTTATTCCAACTCACAGGAGCCAGTCGACAGCGATGATCAGGGTGACATCCTCAGCGGGCAGGCCCACGGCACTTAGCACGATCACCATGGTCACCAGGCCGGCCTGGGGCACACCAGCAGCTCCAATGCTGGCAGCTGTGGCTGTGACACTGTAGCCAAAACATACCAAAAAGAAAGGAGTTAGACACCCATCTCTCCCTTTAAAGCCTCTGGCCTGAAATCATTAGTCCCGTTGGCTGTTTCTGCTGTGTCCCCAAATTGAGCAGTCAGAATCTGTTATCTGAGGAGCACCAGCTCTGCCTCATTATAGGATGAGAGCTGTTGGGGGGCTGGGAAGATTATGATGGTGTCTCCTTGCAGGGGGAGATATGGCACATGGCTCTAATGCAAGGAAGAACTACATGAATGACACCAAAAAATGAGCAAGAGATATTCATGAGAAAAGGAAATGTTTACCCACTGGGGAGTATATAGAATGCCTTTATCTATGCCTCCGTGCATGCTTCCATCCTGAATAAGTGCCATGTACCTCTCCACTTGCCTTTCTCCTCCCTTCTTCCATCTACTCAGCCACCCAATCATTCTCTGAGCACCTAATATGTGCCAGGAACTTACGTTGCCTTGAAGGATGGGTAGAGGGATGGTGGTAGGGGTGGATAGCAAGGGCATTTCAGGTGAAGGCAAAGGAATGAGGCAAAGGTTAAGCAGGTTTTATGTATTCTCTTGATATCACAAGACTCTTCACCTCTCTGGAAGCTGTCCTTTAGGGCACTGAATTGAGAAATAGCTATGACTCCTGTCCAAGGTACAAACATTTACTCCTGACTACTACTTTTTGCCAGAGGATGCACTTTGCACAAAAGGAAGAGAGATCTGGAATCCAGGACAGGCAGCCAGATGAACGTTATTACCATGTATTTAAAAAGATCACTCAAATTAGTAACATTCCTACACACCAATAACAATCAAGCTGAGAGTCAAATCAAAGACGCAATAACTCTCACAATAGCAACAAGAACAACCAAAAAATACCTAAGGATATATTTAACCAAGGAGTTGAAGGACCTCTATAGGAAAAGAACTATGAAACGCTGAGGAAGGAAACTGCAGAGGATATAAACAAATGGAAAAACATATCATGCTCATGGATCAGCAGAATCAACAGTGTTAAAATGTCTATACTACTCAAAGTGATTTACAGATTCAATACAATCCCCCTTAAAGCCCCAATGTCATGTTTTGCAGATCTAGAAAAAATAGTTCTATGCTTTGTATGGAACAAGAAAAGATGCCAAATAGCCAAAGCAACCTTAAGCAAAAAGAACAAATTGGGAGATAATACTTTACCAGACTACAAGACTATAGTAACCAAAATAGCACAAGAACAGAAACTTAGACCAATGGATCAGAACAGAGAACCCAGATATAAAACCATCATTATATTGCCATCTGATCTTTGACAATGGAGGCAATAACATACACTGGGGAAAAGAATCCCTATTCAATAAATGGTGCTGGGAAAACTGGATAGCCACATGGAGAAGACTGAAACAGGATCTGCACCTCTCATCACTTACAAAAATTAATTCATGATGGAAAACAGACTTAAATCTAAGGCATGAAACTATAAGAATTCTAGAACAAGGAGTTCTAAAACTATTGTAGAAATTGGCCTAGACAAAGAATTTATGAAGAGGATCCCAAAGGCAATCAAAGCAATGAAAAAATAAATAAATAAACAGGACCCAATTAAATTAAAAAGCTTCTGCACAGCCAAGGAAACAATCGAGCAAATAGATAACCTCCAAATGGTAGAAAATATTTGCATGCTACATATCCAATAAATGGCTAATAACCAGATTCTACAAAGAACTCAAGCAAATCAGCAAGAAAACATCAAACAATCCATTAAAAAGTGAGCAAAATACATGAACAGAAGCTTTTTAAAAGAAGATAGACTAATGGCCAATAAACATGAAAAAGTGCTCAACATCTCTAATCATGAGGTTAATGCAAATCAAAACCACAATGAGATATCACCTAACTCCAGTGAGAATGGCTCTTATCAAAAAGTTCAAAAACAACAGATGCCAATGTGCATGTGGAGAGATAGGACCACTCATACACTGCTGGTGGGACTGCAAACTAGTACAACCTCTATGGAAAGTAGTATGGAGATACCTCAAAGAACTAAAAGTAGAACTACCATTTGATCCAGCAATCCTACTACTGGGTATTTACCCAAAGGAAAAAAAGACATTATGTAAAAAAGACATCTGCACTAGAATGTTTATAGCAGCACAATTCATAATTGCAAAGATGTGGAAACAACCCAAGTGCCCACCAATACATGAGTGGATCAATAAAATGTAGTATATGTATACCATGGAGGATTACTCAGCCATAAAAAATGATGAGCTAATACCTTTTGTAACAACCTGGATAGAACCGGAGACTATCCTTTCAAGTGAAGTATCACAAGAATGGAAGAACAAAAACCACATGTACTCACTGCTAAATTGAAACTTACTGATCAATACTCATGTGCACATATGGTGGTAAAAATCAATGGAAATCAAGCAGGTGGTGGGGGGGCAGGAGGGGATGGGTAAATTCACACCTAATGGGTACAATGCATGCTATATGGGTGTTGGACACACTTATAACTTTGACTCAAACTGTACAAAAGTAATTCATGTATCTAAAATGTTTGTAACCCCATAATATTCTGAAATTTAAAAAAAATCACTCTTGGGCAGGTAAGATGTGACACTAGAGATTTTTCTCTTTGTAATGTGCAGGTTTTCATTGGCAATATCTCCCTCATTTTAATGGGATCATTCTGGAGGAAATGAGGGCACAGAATGCCCTGAAAAGTCCCTCAATTGGATGAGCTGGAGGGGACAACTAAGATACTTTCTGGAGATATGTCCTCACCCTTGAGCAAGGCCTAAACTGATGTCCAGATGACACTAGGTTGGAAGGTGAAAATGTTGAAACTGCCAACTTAAACTAGAGGAATCCCTGACTTCATCCACAAATCCATATTCTTCTGGGTTCAAAAACTCTGAGTTCTTAGGAAGCTGATTAATCTACCAACTGATGTGCTACAGAGGGCATTTGAAGGTACAGTCCAACGTGGACAGAGTTCTTTGACAAGTGTTTTCATTCAGTGGCTGTGGCCACTAATTTACAGTAACTTAAGAATTTCTGGGGCTGTACCAATTTCTCTAAAGGTTTCAGGCTCCTACATAATCCTTTAGATCTGTTCTGCCCTAAGTACTCTTTGGAAAAGCCAAGTTTATTTTAATGCTGGTTGAAAAAAAAAATTTAAACTGAATGCATCAATGGGTTTTCTTTGTCAGAAGTGATTTGTGCCCATGCCCATTGATCCCTCTTGGAAGCCCTGACATGTCACAGTTAACCAAGTCCCTATGGCCTGAGGCTGGGCTTGAAACTCAAAATCATGTAGTCAAAGAAAACTCTGCCCTTGAGCCTTGACCTTGCTTGCTAGGCCTTGGCAGTTTGGCTTTGGTCTGACACTCAGAACTATAAATCTTCAGATTGGGGAAAACAATATAAAAACGTATTCCTGCTTGAACATATCCTACTTTGATGTAGAGGGTTTTCACAGAAGATAACATAATAATCACCAGGACAAAGTGCTTTCCTCACACTGAGGTCTAGTGTTAGGACAGGCCATTGAACTCAGCTCTCTAAATGGGCTGAAGGTTGGGTTATGAACTAGAGTGAACATAGTTTTTTAGAGTCAGACCCATCTGAGTTGTACTAGGGCTTTGCCACTTTACTGGCAGCATTTCCTTAAGTAAGTCACTTCTCTGAATCTCAATTTCTTGCCTGTAAGATGGGAACAGTATGTGTACTTTGCAGGCTGCTGTGAAGATTAAATGAGATACTATATTTAAGCCATCTGTTATAGCACCTGTATAGTATATGCTTAAAAATATGCCATTCTAATGCTCCAGGACATTGGTCTGGTAGAAGATTTTTTGTGTAAGATCTCAAAAGCACAGGCAATCAAAACAAAAACAGATGATCAGCACCTAAGTGGACACATAGGAACTACATTAATTAGGTATTGGGCAGGTGGGAGGGGGAAGGTGGGGGCAGGTATATACATACATAATGAGTGAGATGTGCACCATCTGGGGGATGGTCACGCTTGAAGCTCAGACTTGTGGGGGTAGGGGGGCAAGAGCATTATTTGAAACCTTAAAATTTGTACCCCCATAATCTGCTGAAATAAAAAAATATATATATACACAAAAAAAACCCCACAAAGAAACAAAAATAGACAATTGGTATCACACCAAGCTAAAAATCTTCTGCACAGCAAAGGAAACAATCAACAAAGTGAAGGGCCAACCCACAGAATGGAAGAAAATATCTGCAAACTATCCATCTGACAAAGGATTAATAACTCTTAACAATGAAATAGCAAAAATAACTCAAACAACTCAATAGCAAAAAAATCATCCAATTAAAAATGGGCAAAAGATCTGAACAGACATTTTTCAAAAGAAGATATAAATGGCCAACGGGTATATGAAAAAATATTCAATGTCACTAAGCATCAGAGAAATGCAAATCAAAACTATAGTGAAATAACATCTCACCCAAGTTAACATGGCTTGTATCAAAAAGAAAGGCAATAACAGATACTGGTGAGGATGTGGAGAAAGGAGAACCCTCACACACTGTTGGCGGGAATGTAAATTAGTACAGCCGCTATGGAGAACAGTATGGAGGATCCTCAAAAACCTAAAAATAGGATTACCATTTGACCCACTAATCCTATTGCTGGGTATAGATCCAAAACAAAGGAAATCAATTATCAGAGAGATACCTGCACTTGCATGTGTATTACAGCACTATTCACAATAGCCACGATATGGAATCAAGCTAAGTGCCAGTCAACAGATGAATGGGTAAAGAGAATGTTGTACATACACAATGGAATACTATTCAACCATAAAAAGAATGGAATCCTGTCATTTGCAACACCATGGATAGAACTGGAGACCACTCTATTAAAGTGAAATAAACCAGGCACAGAAATACAAATATCACATGTTCTCACTCATATATGGGAGCTAAAAAAGTGTATCTCATGAAAATAGAGAGTAGATTGGTGGCTACCAGAGGCTGGGAAGGAGAGGTGGGAAGATGAAGGAAATAAAAAAAGGAATACAAATGTATTTTTACTACTGAACTGTACATTTAAAGATGGTAAAGATGTCAAATTATATATGTATATATCACCTCAATAAAAAATCCAAAAAACCCCATGCCTTTATGCTGCTACTTCTGCAACAACAGCAGTTGCTGCTACTTCTTCTACTGCTACTATTGTGCTGCTGTTAGTATTTACAAATTCTGCTAATCCTGTAGCAACAACCAAAACAACAACCACTATTACAATAACAACTACTACTATTACTACTTTTCTTCTCTAAGTTCTCTCTAGGCCCCAAATCCTATAGTTATCTTTTTTTATAGGAAATTTATATTGAAAACTTATCTACTTTTCAATCAGTTGTAACTTTCAATAAGTGAATATTATGATAAAAATCACAAAAGGGTATGTTTTAGGTAGATGGTACCCTATGTTTCTTTGATATGTCCACAGAAAGAAATATTCTATGGCTCTAAAAATCTCTTTAAGCATTAGTCACATGATCTATAACTATATACTATACAGTATATACTATAACCTGTAAAATTAAAACAACTTTTGTTATTTCCCAGGTAGAGCCAGAGAGGATTTTAAATTTTAAGTAGATGATTACTTTGGGCCTCACAGTTGTTATTGGTTCTGGGCGAGTAGTTATCAGCAAGTCTAATTTTAGAATAAGCCAGAGAGTAGGGAAAGAGGTTTTAATGTGAATTGACTATTTGGCCTCTGGACCAAAGTAGAGAAAGGAAAGGAAAGAAGGAAAGGAAGGAAGGAGAGAATGGAGAGAGAAGAGAGAGAAGAGAAGGAAAGGGAGAGAGGAAAGGAGAAGAGAGAGAGGAAGAGAGGAGAGGAGAGGAGAGGAAGGAGAGAGAGAGAAGAGAGGAAGAGAAGGAGGAGGAAGGAGGGAGGGAGGGAGAAGAAAAAGGGAAGGAGGGGAGGGGAGGGGAAGGAGGGGAGGAGGAGTGGAGGAGGAAGGAAGAAGAAGAAGAAGGAAGGAAGAAGGAAGAGAAGAAGAAGAAAAAAAAAAGAAAGAAAAGGTTAGAAAGATCTAGAAAACTTATGACTAAGGAAGAGGAAAGAAATTCATCAGAAAGTGGCAAATACATGAAAGAACTGGCACTTTATGCAACCACTCCTTGGACGTCAATGCAGTGCAGACTGGGTTCCACAGCCCAAGGTGAAGGGAGGTAGGGAAAAACCCTTGGAAATGTAAAAGTAACAACCACATACATGGTTGTGGGGCAGAAACTTTTTCAGGCATGATTCAAGCTTTTAATTTTAACCTACTCTCTGCTGTTGTAACAATAGGACTTTACTCAAGCTCTTTGGCTCAGGTTTCTTTAGCCACTAACATTTTTTTAATAGATCATGCAGTATCTGGATAGTTTCCCAGCTATTGTGCCAATTGGTATATTTTGTACTTGTCTTCCATTTCAAGCAAACAGCAATAAATACTTTATGATTTAGGGTTGGGGAGGATTTTTAAAATGTATCATTTTAGAACACATTAATTAACAAACTTACTTTATGCCTAGAATTTATGTCTAGTCTGGGGACACAGCAGTGAATTAACTCTAAAAAGGTTCAAATTCAACTTTGAGTTGGCCTAGGGACCCAGTTTAGTCTTACACTTCTACTGTACACTAAAGTCTCCAGGTTAACTCTAATCCCAGTTTATCACTCCAATACAGTGGTGTCCAGCAGAACTTTCTATAGTGATGGAAATGTTCTAAATCTCTGCCATCCAATTCAGTTAGCCATTAGCTGCATGTGGCTAGTGGCTGCCATACTGAACAGCTGGTTCAACTCTGGCAAAATTCACCAATGATATTTCTACCATCTACTTGAGCAGACAATTTCTGTCCTCACTTGACCAGAATTCTCTGCAGTATCGGACTCTGTGGACCATTTCATCGTGGAAAATCTCTCTACACTAGGATTTTCCAAGGCTCAATCCTTAGTCTCCTTCTCTTCTCTACAAACTCTCCCTGCATCCTCCATCCATTTTCAGCATTCACTGATGCTCACCATGTAGGCACTGTTTTAAGCATTTTATACGCATCATCTTACTTAATCACCACTACTTGAATAATTGTAGGTATTCTTAGCATCCCCATTTTACAGGTGAGAAAACAGAAGCTTAGAGCATTCAAGTCACTTTCCCAAGGTCACAGCTGATCATGGTGTAGCCAAGATTGAAACAGACAACTGACTTGTGGCCCACACATTTGAAGACCACCATTAAGCTGATGTCCCTGATTTCTGTACCTGCAGTCCAGACCTATGTTTCTCGCTGCGTATCTCCACTTGGAGGTCTTACAGCCAAATTCAATGTGTCAAAAAGTATTAACTCTTTATCTTTCCACCTATACTTGCTTCTCTTGTGCCAGTCCCTGTTTTGGTAAGACCTGTCCACCAATCCAGAATCATCCACCGATGCTGAGAGTCATCCTGGACCAGGGGTCCTCAAACTTTTTAAACAGGGCCCAGTTCACTGTCCCTCAGACCGCTGGAGGGCCGGACTATAGTTTTTAAAAAAACTATGAACAAATTCCTATGCACACTGAACATATCTTATTTTGAAGTAAAAAAAAAAACAAATGGGCAAAAACACCCGCATGTGGCCCGCGGGTCGTAGTTTGAGGACACCCGTCCTAGACTTTTCCTGTCCCTCAGCCTGACTCCAATAGATGCCTCTTCCATTCGTTAGCTCCTCTCCATCCCCAGTGTCAGGGCCTTGCTGTGGGCCTTTTAATACCTTATTTGGGCTTCTGCAAGTCTCCTAACCAGCCTTCTAGTTTGTGGTTTCTGTCCCCATCCAATCCATCTGCCATGTTACCAGTTACTTTGCTAAAATGCAGATCTGTCTACAATATGCCCAAGTGTCTGAGACCCTGCATGAGCTCCCCATACAAAGTCTTTCATGATATGATCCCTGCCTCCTCATTCCTGTATGTTCTCCACATTGTACCCTTCATGCAGGCCATGACAAATAATCTGTACTCTGTAACTAGGCCACGGCTACATCACAAGCCATTTCTGCTATCCAAAATGCTCTTAAGCTTCCTTCTTCTCCTGCTAAATGCCTATTCCTCTTCTAAGATTCAGATAAACTTTACCATCCTCTAGAAAGCTTTCCCTCACCTTCCCAGGAAGAGCTAGCCCTTCTTCCTCTGTACCCTCTGTGACCACCACACAAGGTTCTGTTACAGCCCCCATCACAGTCCTGAGTGTTCATTTGGATATCTGTATCCCTGTCTATCAGGGACCTCTTGAAAGCAGGGACTGGCCTTCATTCAGCCTTGAGTCTTTGCGCCTACTCTGGGTCCAGCACCTGGGCACACTGAACTGAGCACAGAGTGATGCCTTTGGCTACCCGGACCCTGAAGCAGAAATCTTGCATATATCATGAGTCCACTACTTATAATACAGTTGTATTTAATCCTAGGAAGGGACTTTGTAGGCCAAGAAAAAAGATCCATCACTGGGCGATTCTTGGTGACCCTTTATGGACCATTGTTACTCGAGGCAATCCCAGTAACAGTGATGAAAAGTGAGTGTGACACCACACCCCACCTGATGGTGATGATCTGCCCAATGTCCAACTCCAGGTCATTCAGCTGTGCGATGAACACAGCTGCCACAGCCTCGTAGAGCGCAGTCCCATCCATGTTGATCGTGGCACCGACCGGTAACACAAATCTGGTGATCCTCTTGTCCACACGGTTGTTTTCTTCAGCACAGCGGAAGGTGACAGGCAGCGTTGCTGAACTGTGTGATAAAAAGAGAGGGGAACTTACGGTCTAGGACCGTGGCCCTGGGTTCCTACCTGAAGAGACACCTCTTCCAAAAAGTGAGTGAAGGGCCGAAAGTGTGCTGGCCCTTTTGGAGGGCCCAGGAATTAGAAGGTGCTGTGCCCGCTGCTGCTCCCAGCTGCACTACGACCCCTTTCTGGGTGCAGGCCATGCCGAGATGGCAGGGAACAGTCATTCAGTAGGGTGCAGAGAATATGGAGGTAATTTCTCAAGTTAAAAGTAGCTACAAAAACCACAAGCTGGAGTCTGTTTCATCAAGCGAGGTGAGAGTTGATAAAGTTTGGCTAGAGGCTTCTTCTAGAAACCCTTTTTCTATTTACCTGGAAGAGATCATGAGAGCCGTCAGGAGAGCCTGGGCCATTCCCATGGCAAATTGGAAGGGGTTCTTCCTTACGACTATGAAATATATCAGCGGGAGAATCACAATGGAGTGGATTGCAAGCCTGTAACAGAAACAGAAACAGTTTCAAAGATAATGCCACCGGCCTCATACTTAACCCTTTTATCAAATGGCTTTTATATTCATGATCTTGTTCAACTTTCATAATGACCCAGTGAGATCACAGGAAGTGGGGCGGGAATATTTGTCCCCATTCCATGTACGGGGACACAGAGGCTCACTCAGTAGATGAAGCATCTTGTCAGAGTTAATGGCAAAGCCAGTAGCTGAATCCAAATTTCCGAGCTCACAGACCAGGGTTACATCACGCTGCCACGCCTCGTGCATGCCATTCCTGCTCCATGTGCAAAAATGCTCCTCACTTCCTTCTGCTGCTGCTGAATTCTTACTCCTCCTCTAAGACACAGCTAGACCTCCCCCCTCCTCCAGGAAGCCTTCCCTCACTGTCCCAGGCAGAGCTGATCCTTCCCTCCTTGGCACCCTCTGTGTCCCTATACTTGATACTTCATTACAGCCCCCCCACAGCCCCCCTCCCTCCATTCCCTGCACCCCGCCGTCTTGCTGGACAGCGCCCACTGTCCGAGAGGGAAGTCAGAGTTGCAGTAATGAAAAAGTGCCTGCATAATTTAGGACCGACCCTCTTTTCTTTTATTCCTGTCTCCAAAACCATGTTCCTGTTTCACATGGAAGTGTACACGTTACACAAAATGGCGGGGAGGCTTAAGAACTGAGACCCATTTGACAGTATATATGTAAGTGACAATTTCTAGTTCACAGATTAGTCATGTGAGTTTGAAACAATAAGAAATGGGCACTGAAAATACAGATCCTAGAGGTCTGCAGAGAGGGTCTTGCCCATAGAGAGCTTATAGCTAAGAACTATGAGGAACTTTTTTTTTTTTTTAATTGAGACAGAGTCTCGTTCTGTTGCCCCGGCTAGAGTGCAATGGCGACATCACAGATCACTGCAACCTCAAACTCCTGGACTCAAGCGATCCTCCCGCCTCAGCCTCCTGAGTAGCTGGGACTACAGGTGTGTATCACACACCTGGATAATTTTTCTATTTTTAGTAGAGACAGGTGTCCCTCTTGATCAGGCTGGTCTCAAACTCCTGAGCTCAAGCGATCCTCCCACCTTGGCCTCCCATAGTGCTAGGACTACAGGTGTGAGCCACCACGCCTGGCCCAGAACTCACTTTTAGGTTTCTAGAAACCTAGATAGGATGAGAGAATACAAAGCAGCAGAACTGCATTATGTAATGGCTCAGTATCCCTCAGACACGTCACTGCCTAGACACAGTCCCTGGTGCTGCCTATTTCAGCAGCCCCAGAGCATGGTGGCCTCTACTGAGGTAGAGGTCTCGCCTCCCTGGATTTGTCCCTGACCCTCACACTGTAGGAACCCAGGCTGCTTCTGTGTTTGCTAGCAGGGCTGTGCTTCTACCAAACACAGATTAAGAAGCAAATGCTGTGTGATGCAAACTGCCCCCCACCCCAGTGCAATCGAGGTCTAATAGGTGAGTTGATTAAGTTGGGAGTTTGAGGGTATTGGCCTGTGGGAGTCATATCGATGATATTTACTCATCCCTTGGTCCATATTTCTTAGTCTATGTGGCATGCTCTGCTGCTGGCTAGGTGTCTAGGGGCACATTCATAACCTATTCCATCACATCTCTTTGAAGGAATCAATACCTGGGCTGTAATAAATACGCAAATAACCAATCCCCTGCTGCCTTCCAGTATTATGGCTTCTAAAAAGCCCCACAATTCCTCCTGGCCTCAAGATTTTCCCAGCATGCTCTCTGACAGCTGATGATGCAGGGCAGGTGGCAGTTAGCAGCCCCAGCACCAGTGTGGGAACCGGCCGGCCATCCTGCTTCTATTCCCTTGAGCTTGACTTCATTTAGGCCCTTCCTGATTTCTTTCAGGCTCAGGGTACATCGGGGCTATTCTTACTTGCTTGGCTAGTTTGCATTCTTGAGGAAGCAAAGTCCAGGAGAGAGCCAAGAGAGGCTACAAGTGGGTTTCTCTTTTGTTTTAAAAAACGATTTTAACACAACCAATAAAGGCAGTGACAAAGCCCGGTCCAGGCTGTTCTGCCAAGAGCTGGCAATTAGCGCAGTGTGATCCACCTACAGTACAGCTGTTAAAGGGCAGCCCTCCTCCCCTGCTCTCTTATCTCTGAACCCTATCTTCCCCTGCACATGGGAGAGAAGCTGACTTTAACCAACTGAAACCCAGCCTCTCAGCAGCCATCCCATTGCATCAGAGAAGCTTCTGTTTCTTCTCTTGAGTCCGACATACCCACTCAGGACTGTGGCCATGTAAAGGCCCAGCTTGCGGAATATTTCCCAGTCTTCAACTTCTATGATCTTCCCGGCAATCAGGAACAAAATACCGAGAGGCATGTAACTAGAAAGTAAGCACAGCAAAGACATGTGTTTTCGCAGGCTGGGGTTGTTGGGGGAAGAAACAAGGTAGGGCACGCACCCACAGCTTGGCGTGTGCACTCAGCTGGCGGGGCACAGGGAACATAATGCAGCTAAGGGCTTTTTCAAGTCCTGGGCGGACTCTGTTGGCTCTAGATTTTAGTACCTGCATGCACCTTCAATGTTGCCCACCTAAACTACCATAAGTGTGGTTTGCAAACTTGGTAAGAACATGTGGTCAGACTGGTGCATCCCCACGCCATGCTCCCAGTGCACATGTATCCTGCTGACTGTCATATCACCTGCTTATCCCATTTGAACTTGACCCTCACTGCCAAATATGGACACTAGCCCGTGGTCATCTTGTTTCCCAGGTACCAGCAATAGAAGCAACAGCGTTAGCGGTGGAAGAGGTCATAATAGCTCTATTTGTGGAGCTCTCATTACATTTTGTGTTGGGGAAAATATCTTACATGCATCATTTCATTTAATGTACTTCTCCTAACCCTCAGGGTGGATTTTATTATCCTTTTTCACAGACCATGAAGCTGAGGTTTCTGCAGGATTAAATGACTTGCCTGGCTGTTTTTACTGAGCCCTTTACGTCACCGTCAAAGTCTACACTTAGGATTAAATAATGTTGCTCTAATTTGATATGAGATAAGTAAAGCAGATGCTTCCTAGGATAGGAAGACTTCTTAGCATCTCCAGGGACAGGGCAGATACTCAGGTGGTGTCACTGGTACACTCACAGATGGCAGCTTTCACTCAGACGTGTCAGTGCCCATGCCACAACAGCTGTAAATATGTTGAATCTCACTTCTGCACGAAGCCTAATAAGGAAAGCACTTTGTGTTCCATTGTGCAAGGAACTTCTTCAAATCATCCCTTTAAGAATTCCTTCTTACATGAATGCTGGTTGAGAACAAGATGATCTCCTAGGGATTTGGGGGAAAAGACAATGGCTGATAACTAGACTTTTGTTAATGAACTAACTCCTGAGTAGTATGTGGAACTATTTCATACTCCAGTGACTTGATATTAAATGTACACCTTCTCTAGGATGAGGTCAGTGGAAAAACATAAGCCTCTTCTTTCTAATTTGAAGGAGACAGAATTGTCAGGGGAAGCAAAGTGACATTAAACAGTGTCTGCTCACCACATAATGATCTGAACGATTTTCATGGTAGCATCACTCAAAGCATTGAAGAAATCCACCAGAATCTGTCCCTTTTCTCCCATTTTTCCAATGACAAGTCCAAAGACAAGGCAAAAGACAATTAAGCCCAGGACATTTATGCCATCTGAATACATGCCTACAATTTTGTAGTCCTTTGTTTTGTTCTGTGGATCAAAACCAAGAAAATACATGGATGCATGATTATAATCTTGTTAGAATGCACAGGCCCTGAAATGAGAAGATATGAGAGCCATACATAATAAACTAGTGATCTACCAGAGTCAACAATACTTTAGGAAAGATAATAATAATAGTAAGACTTATGCATGTAACAGATTTTACCCCACCCTGAAATTTAAAGTTTTTTTTTCCTCTCTCTCAACAAGTCCATATTTGAATATTTCTTATGAAGATTTCTTAATCAGGAATGTTTCACATTTTTATTATAAATTTTAGAATTAGGGCACTTTTCAGGGTTATTTTAACTGCTAGCTACATTTGGAGTCTGCTTTAAAAAAAGAAAGGAATTAATAAATGCAGGAAGTAAAAAATGTTTGCCAGCATGAACATTTTCAGGACATTTTATCATCTGTTTTACCCTGAGAATAAAGCACAGGAACATTCTTTACTGACTCTGGTCTTGGATGACCCATAGGGTTTTAGAGATATAAAAATTAACCAGATACGTACTACTGTGAGCCATTTCTTCACTTTATCCTGGGTAAAAATAGCATGAGATTTACCAAGTGATAACGTAAGTTGAGTGGTGCAAACCAAGTTTATAAAGAATTATGTCAAGGAGCCACTAGGCTACCAGTCGTTTCTTACTTTTGATCAAACAGATATTTAGGGAGCAGCTAGAGTGTTCTAACTGCACTAGCAACAGCATCAGGTCTTAAAATTCAGCTGGAGAGACAAGACTAACTGTGAGAAACATGAGCCAATAATAGCAAGACGGTATGTAATTAACCACACAGCCAAGCTATGAGTTACAAGCGTCATATGGAGACTGGGACACAAATGAGGGTTTCGAGGTTAGGGAAAGCAAGGCCTAAGGAGTTGGCAGGCAGGACACAAAGCACATTCCAGAAAAATGGTAAGCCAAGGAAAAAGTCATCGTGTGCTAGGACTTTGTACCCTGCTTGAATAATTCATACTCATCCTTTTTTTTTTTTTTTATTTTTTATTTTGAGACAGAGTCTCTCTCTGTTGCCTAGGCTAGAGTGCCTTGGCATCAGCCTAGCTCACAGCAACCTCAAACTCCTGGTCTTAGGTGATCCTCCTGCCTCAGCCTCCCAAGTAGCTGGGACTCCAGGCATGCGCCACCATGCCTGGCTAATTTTTTCTATATATTTTAAGTTGTTCAGATAATTTCTTTCTATATTTTTAGTCGCTCTCGCGACTTGCTCAGGCTGGTCTCGAACTCCTGAGCTCAAACGATCTGCCCACCTTGGCCTCCCAGAGTGCTAGGATTACAGGTGTGAGCCACCGAGCCCAGCCTGTACTGATCCTCTATGGCCCCCAAACTAATCTAACCCCATTGAATGCCCCCAAAGCACTCTATTCTTCCTGATGGCAATACTCATCCTTCTTTGCATGAGGACAGATGCCACATCTGTCTTTTCACTTTTATAATCCCAGTGCCCAGCAGGCCTGGCATGTGGAGGATGCTCAGAAAATATTCGAGAACCACATGGAAAGGCAGGAGTAAGGAGTAACTGAGGAGGCAGATCTGGACAGACCCCACCAGGGAGTAAGCGGGAAAACCAAAGAGAAGCCAGGTTCTGCAGGGCCTGTGAACCTAGCTGGAGGGGTTAAGGCTTTCTGCAGTAGGAAGCAGGGGGCCAACCATGGTCTATTTCATTTGAATTCTTAAGGCTACTGATATTCTTTCTCCTTAAATCTTTCCTTCCCGTGTGAGGCAGAGAACATCTGGGGATTAATTAACTACAGGTGTACAAATGTACCTCTTCAAACCCTAATCCCCAATTATGAGATCCTCACAGCTCTCAAAGTCCACTGATTTTATTGCTACATAGGTGGCAAAACCCATGCTGAACTGAGATGAGGCTACAGAGAATCTATTTCTCTCACTTGGCAGAATATTCTTGAGTTTGTTGCAGAAATACTGATACGCTTGATTCCGGAGTGTAGTTGCCAGTCCCACTTACAGATATTGCATAATATGCTGTACGTACACCGCACAGCCCTTCTGAAGTCTGAGAAACTCTGAGTCACATCTGGGCAGAGAGATTCAGGCAAGGAATGGTGGGTCTGCATTCCATGTTCATGCAGGCTTGCAACTCTACAGCGGTTCCCAGAGGTGCCCAACTCTACCGTAAGCAGTGGCAGAAATATAGAGGCCACAGGGCCCATCCTTCTCTCTCTGTGGTATAGCTGATTCTCTTTATTCCCAATAGTTACGTTCTGTAAAGTCCTCGTGAACACTGAATTAGCAAATACTGAATCACTGCTCCTGGGGGAAATACAGGGCTGGGTTCCTGGGAGCCCTGATCACATCAATTTAATTAAACGATCAATACCTAACATCGTTTTGTGTGTTTCTGTTTAAAGGCACCTTATTTAATATATATTGCTGATTCATTAACATGGAATTCACAGCCAACAGCATTGTAAGTCACGCCTGAGTGAAGCTATCTAACAACAACTTTTCTCCGTAAGGCACAACACAGTCTTTTTGTGCTTAGGAACACTACAGAGCACTTCAGCACTACCCTTTGGTCCATTTTATACAGTGAAATCACCAAGAAAAAAAACACAAAAATGCAAAAAAAAAAAAAGGCATGCTAAAACACACTGCAAAATGGACATTCATTTATAATATAAGAACCAAAACAAGGAGGCAGACCAGAGCCTTGTTCGGCTGCAGGTGGGAACACGTACTTCACAGGACTCAAATATTTTGCCATTCTCTGTGTGCTGTAGATGATCACAAAAGCCCCGCAAGTATTGATTTTGAGATCAAAAATAAAGTTTAGCAAGTAGATGGATTCACAAATGTGGATTCTGCGAGTAACGAGGAATACAGTCATATTTTCATCTCCTGCTCACTCCTGACTCAGAGGCTGCCCTCTGGGGAAGGCGCGGGCCACAAGGACAGTACCTTGGAAATAGCAGTTGTCATGATGGCTGTGAAGCCCTCCTCTGTCGTGTTTACCTCTGGATCACTGGAAGGATTCACTTCTTCACGCTTGGTTTTGTACTGCATGTTGGAGAAAAAGACAAGTCAACAATAAAAAAAAAAGGGGGGGGGTGTTAAAGCTTGTGTGGGTAAACCCCGGGAATACGTCATTTTGGCCGAATAGGTGTCACTGTAGGGTTCTACCTCCGAGGCCTCTGCTGGTTGTCAGTGGTGCCTCCCAGGAGGTTCTGGAACTAAAATCAAGACTGAGAAACCCAACCTCTGACTCCCATGCCACCATTCAATAATGTCAAAACGTTCTCCCACTTTCACAATAAGGAACAAATTAATGGAGCAATAATGTGAAAGGAAGTATAGGTTTTATCTGTACATGCTTTCATAGACTCTTTACATAGCTTTCATGTAAAGATTCCTGTCCATGTTTGTTTCTGTTAATTAATGAAATTATTTTTAATCCTGGGAGGAAACGCTTCATCACTTTGGTAAAGTCACCACGATTTTAATAAACATCAAGAAAGGTTTAAACTATATGGTTGTTCCAAAAACAACAGTCTCTTTAGGGTTATTCAATGAGTGAGATTTCAGTTGAATTCTCTTCCTTCAGCTCTGTTTGGCTTTGTGGAGCTTCGACATGGAGGTTTAAGAAAGAGCTAGTATACTATGACACCAGGCATAAATAAATGTCCCTCCTACAGGGCTCTGCCAACACCAAGAACCTTACAAATGACCACTGTGGCTCATCTGCAAAGGTACCCCTGAAACAGAGGTGGCTCTGTGCCTTGTGGGGGCCAGTGGGGAGCAGCATAATTGCAGTTTTGTTGGTACACACAGGAGTCTCTGTTCATGCAATTTATGTAAATGAGTACAGCAATTTGTGATAGACTCAGCTGTCTTAAAGCACATAGATAAATAAGAGAAAAAGGCTCAAAGTCAATTAAAGAGATTGTTAAATTTTCCTAGAGGAAAAAAAAAAAATCATGGCTTTGTTACACTGCTCGGTAGAGTGCCAGCAACGGGACATAATGATTAAGTAAAAGACCGAATCCAGAGTGTGAACCACACCGTGTGGGTTAGATCCCGGGCTCCAGCGTGAGAGAAAAAAGGGAAAGAGGAGGTGGAGAGCTGCTTTTCTTTTCTGCAGACAGATTAAGTTTCTGCACAAATATAACATGGTTCTCCAAAAATGGGTACGGGAGGCCACATTTTACAACATTTATTGTTTGACAGATTCCTGACTTGCACCATTTGAGCCCTTTGCTCGGGGGTGGGGAGGGTTGGGGGGAGGGGGAAAGCATAAAGGGAAAGGGAGCAGGGTAAGTTATGACATGCACTTCGCTGTGGGCTGCAAAGGCCGGGCACAGAACAGAGGAGTCCCCTGAAACTCCGCCATCCACAGATACACTTCCTGCTGCTGTTTTTTTTTTTTTTTTTTTTTTTTGAAGTTTCCCAAGAATGGAAACTGCTGCTGTTTTTGATGGGTCACAGTAGAAAAAAAAAAAATTCTTAATTGGTAATGGGAAGAGAGTAGCAAGTTAAGGGCAAAAGTCATTAATATTACCTGCTGAAAACAGGCTTGGACGAGGTTCTCAGGAAACATATTCCTGTTGGAGACAGGAAAAGCAGTATTATGTGAGTACAAAAAAGTGTTTTTTTAAAAAATCATACTCAATACGTTGGTGGAAATGAGCATAATATAGAATGAGTACTCTGGTTCCTCTTCTGGCCTTTCCTTTGCATAATACTTCCTTGTATTAAGGCTTCTTTTCTCCCGCTGAGCTCCAAGTGTAGAAAGCTCTCCTAATGAATCGTCACTTAAATGATTCACTGAACCACTGACACGCTTTCTATCCTTGGTGAAACACTGTGCTGGCAGGTGGACACTCACAGTCAACAGACTATTTCTTCTTTAAAATTCTGCACATTTTCTGTTTTCATCCGTGAGAATGAATGCATACCAAGAGTCCAGTGTATTTGTTCCCAAATTCTTTATGCCAATTGCAAATATCATCATAATCACTGAATTTAATATTATGCAAGCCAGTGAAATATGAGTATGAAAAGGAAGGAATGGTTTCTATAAAAACTAAGCTGAATGCCTGGAAACTCAATAAAGGCAAATGACTAAAAATTTTTATGGTTAAATTAGGTATGGGAAGACAATTGAAATAAAAAGATTTTATTTGTCTTTTTGGCATTCGGCTTTCTTTGCAATTACTAAGGGTTTCATTGCACTCATCTATGGAAACTTAATCTGGAAATTGCAAATAATGCATTTAAAAGGGCTGCATATACAACAGGAACCATATGAAATTATAAACTGACAAAGTCCAAGACAAGACCTTGGCCCTACACTAAAAAGTCAGTGAATGAGTACCTTTAAGTTTTGAGTGGAAACAAAATATGTAATATATATTGTATCATTTTTTTATGAATTTCTGTTTTAATTGTTATTTTTATCAACCAACCTATTTCTGGCTCTGATTGCTTCAGATAGAGAGTTTCTCATGTACAATTAAAAAACGTATTTCTCAAAGTGCACTTTGGAGCTGACCACTTGACCCAACCAAGCATCCCTACACAACAAGTATGCTTTCCGCACCTCTGTCCATCCTAAATCCTGACAGAGGAGCTTGTTCCTTCCATTCTCTCTTGGAACTATGACCTGGAAAAGCAGGATTGGCTATATAGTTCACAAGGTCCAGAACATAATGAAAATGCACAATTCAAAAATTATTAAAACTTTCAAGACAGCAACAGCAGAGCATTAAACCATGCATGGGGCCTGGTACAACTATACAGGTCACGTGCCCACGCAGCCACCTGCTGCCAAGACACTCACCTGATGAGGTCTAACATGGCATCCACTGTGCTGACTTCAGGGGTGTTGCCAGTCCTGTCGATTTCAGTCACCTTCTGGGTGACACCAGGCTTGATACTTATCACCATCACAATACCTGCGGCCAAGAACAGCACCCACAGAGCATTAGGAATTTCCAGGGCAGCTGGCACCCCTGGCACCCCAAGGCATCCTTCTTAGGCCCAGCAGGTATGGTGGTACCAGGGGATGCCATGGTGGGGAAGAGCCTGAGGGTCCAGCCAAAATGCTGACCTTCCCCTGGGACTTCAGCAGCCCCTTAATTACTTTTCCATTTAAATGAGAAAGCAGAAAGAACTCTTCCCTTGTGTTGTGTCTTTTTTTTTTTTAAGTGAAGGGGCTGTATCCCAGAATTGCTTCTGGAAACACCTGCTGATGAGAATATTCTTTTCTTTTTTTTTAACTATGAGATCAGCCTAGGCAGGTGTTAGGATGAGGGTGATTCATTTTCCATCCCAGGGAACTCATTCAATATCTTTTGTAACTTTTATCCACAGACGTGGTTACCCTCCTGAGGGTCACACATAACTAGCCTTGCCTTCCTTCCATACCACAGGCCTTTGAATATCTGGAAAGTTGCCATGTGGGAATATGTTGTTTAGCGGTGGAGTGAGGACAAATAGATGGGAGTTCCAGGGAGGGAGGGTTCATCTCGCCATAAGGAAGACCTGTCTACATGGTAGAGCATCTGAAAGAGCCATTATGGCCTTTGGGAGTAATGAGTTCCTATCACTCAAGTGTCCAAGCAGAGGTGGGAGGCTGTTTGACTGGAGGAGAGTGAGGAAGAGGAGGGTCCTCATGCTCTTCATTGCTTTCAACCCAAGAGGAAGTCATGCTAATCCGAAGGGTAGGACTTTGGGATGTTGAATGGGCTAGTTTTGCTAGAGGCAGAGTCGCTGGGCAATAAGAGGGCCATGAGTGGGCATGGTCCACTCTTCCCTCTTGGGGCTGCAGAAGGGATATACCCCCAGCTAGTGATAAAGCACTATCTTGCTTTCTCGCTGCTATTTTTTCTTTGTGTCTGTCTCCCTCAAGAACCTCATGAGGAGATGGGGCTTTGGTTTAGGGTAGGGTCCCACCATTTCTTATCAGTTCATTAAAGCAGGACTGCAAGAGTCAAGCTGACTGCAACATCTGAGTACATTCTTTCCTTTCTCTCCACTCTGGGCATCCTTCTTAAAATGTCATTCTGGGTCGCAAAGGGTAGACCATACAAAAACCCATGCTAGAGGTACAAGAGATGCTGTTCCCTTATTGGAAATTTCTCCCTCTTACAAGTGGGACTTATACTTGGCAAGGTTTTGTTAGCCGTTAGCTCTTGGAACTATGTGAAATACACAAAAATGCTATCTTTCTGAAAATATTTTATAATTATACCCAACCCCACTATTATAGACGAATTATCCAGTTTAAGAATTATATAAGCTCTTGGCTTCACTTCCTTCTACCCAATGATCCTGACGAGGCATAAAACTGTCACTCTTGAGTGACAGTTGAGACTTTAATAGGCAGTACCATGGCCCAGATTCAGTCAGTATTACATCTGCTTCGCATAAAAGGTGCTATGTAGACTTCAAAGGAAAAAGCTTCACGGTGGTTTGACAATACTATTTTCTGATTTAAAAAGAAATTGTGCATTTTATAAAGCCCAACTACTTTTTGAATGAAAAGTGGCAATTACATAGAGGAAGAAAGATTCAAAAATAAACGTTACCTAGAATTACAGCGATGACAGTGGTACAGAAATAATACATGACGGCACGCAGACCAATTTTTCCAGATACGTTGGAATCCAGCGCAGCGACACCTGAGGGGTGGAGGAAGAAGTCAAATTACATTAATTTTAATAAACAGATTTCCAGGACTGGTGATTCAATCCTCAAAGTGTGAAATAAAGTGCTGAAAGCTGTTTTCTGCATTTACGAGGCCCATCTCGCACAGCTTTGTTTGGGTAAGACGCAATGAGAAAAAGCATCACTCGAAAACTCCACACACAGAATGAAGAGCTGGAAGCACAGTGAGGGGCAAAGTCTCCTGTGGGCTAATCCCACCGCCTTAGCCTAGAGCGCTGGGCCTTTGGCTCTAATCCTTAGGGGTGGTCACGAAACAGTCATAAGGAGACCCCTTCTGCATTCACACTAAGATCTTTACCAAGATTTGGACATTTTATCACTTGACATCTCTTATGATAACCCCCCTTTTGGAATTCAGTATCCCGGAAAAATTTATCTTGAAGAACTGAGGTCGTTCTTTTACCACGTAATGAGAATCATGTAACTCATGTAACCTTTTCTCTCAGAAAGCTCAGCGTCAACTGAAGAAAAAAAAAATAACATTTATGTGTAATTATAAAGTAGTTAATAGCATGTATTCATTACTATTATCTGAAAAAAGAGAAAATACAAAGATGAAAACAAAAATCACTTCATCTCACCAACCACAGCTACTATTCTGGTGAATTTTCTTCTGATATTTTTTTTCTCAATTTTTTATAAGCATAGCTGAGAGAATTTTGTAGTTTTTAACCCTCTCTTTTTCTTAATTTTGTATTATGAGCATTTTCCCTCAGCATTACAAACTGTCTCTGAGGATAACTTTAATGGCCACGTAATCTTCTGTCATGTGGCTGTGCAAGAAATGTATTTAATCATCCACTTACTGCTGGATCTTTAGATCATCTCAGGGCCAAATTTAATAATAAATCTCAGTAATGTCATTATCCATCCTGGCTAGCATATTTCCTTCCTCTTTTCATGATTTTCAAATTGCTTCTACGTGAACAACCTTACCGTGTGTGGCTTCTTTTATGGGATACTTTAAAATTTCTGCTTGAAAGAGGAAGAATATAAATAATATTGTCTGAGGACACGGGTAATTTCAGAGACTTGTGGTCGCATACATCTAGTTTCGAATGGTCTTTGGCTGCCAATAAAATGACTGAGTGTTGAGTAGACACGAAAGGGTTGTCTGGAATGCCAAGGACAGCCGTATTCAAGAAGGAAGGCAGGATTTCTTCCTCGGTAAAAACTCGTGCTTTTTATCAAAGATGCTCATACAAATGGGGTCAAATGCTGCTCTCTAACTGGACTTCTCCATGGGAGAGGGGGCAAGCTGAGAAGCAACCAAATCATCTTTCAAGCTGTCATTCAGAGATTCCAGAAGCTACCCTGCCTTCTTTCCAAAATGAAGGTCTCACCTGTTGAGTTAAATCATAATCAAGGAAAATGATTTTGTGTCTTCAACATACATGAGTTGTCCCATAACTGTTTGCAGAGCATAAAGCACAGGAAAAAAGTAGCAGGAAAAAAGGACGAGGCTATCACAAGGCAACCCATAGGAAAAGGTAGTAAACCTGTGCAGCTATAAGCAGGCTATAACAGGTAGCTTTTATATTCACTTCTCACGCCATAAAAGGCCTGTCCCTTTTTTTAAGTGACTGGGGGATTACACTCCTCACCTATAAGCATACATGTTTGATGTGCAGGGAAAATCTGCGAGGAAACTATCGCCATCATGATGACAGGACAAGTCAATCCTCAGTCTAAACACACCACTCCTGAGGCTGCTGATTGCTCTTTTGGGAGTTAATATTTTGAGGACGGGGCCCTGACCTCTGCAGTGACTCCCGCAGGATGTTGTTAAGGGCCCATTCACCGACCTCCGGGACAGGACTGCAATTACCATATGGTGGGCATATTGCAACACTCACATCCTAGAATAACTCTGATGACAGATTCTGTTCTCTCTCTCTGGGAAAAATGCGGTTTGGTGTGCTGAGGCTTTCTTTCCCTGATGGTAAGACAATTAAAAATACCAATTACGCAACAAACGACAACAGCAACAACAAAAATATCAGGAGGAATCAAAGGCCAAAATCCAGAAGCAAATGAACTATCTCATATTCAGTTTAGGTCTCTTAAAGAAAGAGCAAACCATAATGCAAATATACAAGTTTGCTAAGTATATTGTATGACTATAAAATGTGCCCATTTCATGTTAGAGCTCAGTATATTACATTGATATGCAGCTATAATTATTTATAACAGTAATGGTAGGTTAAAAATAAACCAGAAAATCACCACCTTAACAGACACTAAGTAATTTGTATAAGCACTTGTAACCCTCATCTCACACAGGATCTATTTTCAGATATATTATCCTTCTTTGGTAGGTGTCCAATTTAAGTAGATTTTAGCCCCTAAAGTGCTCACAAGTGACAAGAGTCACAGGGTGGCTACAGAACGGTCCTCAGGTATGTGTTTGGTGCCCTCTCAGGATTTTCTTCCAGCAGTGAAACAAATTAAACCTATGTGAGTAATTGTTTCCAGCTTATGTTAATATGTCTTAATTTGTCGTAATGATTTGGCCATGGGCTGCTGCATCTGCCTGCACTTCAGGACTCAGCTGGCAATAAAAGGCTTCACAATAATGAAATTCGTGGTGGAAATATCTTAAACAAATACATCCCCGAGCAGTCAGCCAGCTCCTCTCTGTTGCAGCACAGCAACTATCTTGTAGTCACTTTTAAGGAAGGGCTTTAGTTCCCATTCTTCTAATCCACCTCCGTCCTACACTCTTCCTGGAGACATCGGAAATTTACTCAAGTCAACAATCACACTTCTCTGCACTCTATAGTTACCCCTCTCCCTTTCTGGTCATCAATGATCAGGGACACAGCTGGTCCCCAAATCCAGGTTCTTGGTGGTGACCACCATACAGGGAGGGAACAAATACAGGGAGACAGCCTGAACTTTGAAAACCTCTATCATAGGAACATCACAAAACTGAATGACTATAAAATGTCTGTCTGGATTAGTGTAAACACACTGCCTGCCAATTATATCCATAATGATGAGGGTGATAATTATAATTATAATAAAAATAATGATAATGATGACAACAGACACTATGTTGAGCAATGACTGCATGTAAATGCGTCATCTTTAATTCTCATCGTAACCCTAGGGGGCAGGCAGTATAATCCCCACTTAAAGAGGAGAAAGCTGTAGCTCAGGAGGGCTAACCCACATACTATGATCATAAAGCTGGTGAGGTGAGTGGTGGAGCTGTAATCCCAACACAGGTGACCCCACAGGCCACATTCGTAACCATTATTCCCTACTGGCTTGCCCAGTAGAGCTCCCTGATGATGGACGCGTTCTATATTTGTGCTGTCCAGTGCAACAGCCATAAGCTACATGTGGCTTGTGAACACTTGAAAAAGTTGCCAGTGTCACTAAGGAACTGAGTTTTAATGTTATTTAATTTTAATTAACGTCAACTTAAATAGCCACAGGTGGCTAATGGCTATCATATGGGACAGCATAATCTCTAGACCCTACCAGAGTGCTTAACATTTAGTAAGTGCTCAACAATGTTGAGTAAACTAACTCAAGCTTAACCCCATGATCAAATTCAGTAAAAAGTTCTTTACCTTGCCAGCACTGGGGCAGGGAGGGGAAGACGATAAACTAAAATCTCCTGGCCCATAGTTCCATCACCGTGCTGACTGTATTGCTCTAAGCACTCTACGTTCCACGTAACAGAAAGAGCTGAGCGTATAACAGGTAATTCTCCCCTTACAAACAAGCCCATTTCAAAGGGCCACTTGTGTGTAAGAAATCTGGAGCTCAGCGGGTGGTCTGGTCTCTTAGAAAACACACGTACACAATGGTTTACTTCGGTTCCCAGGGCAGCCAACGAAACCACTTTTCACCCATTAAAGACCACCACATGAGAACATATTTAGCATCTTAGTGTTTCTCAACCTTTTAATTTTTTTATTATCATGGCCCACCCTTCCCCACAAGCCTTTTAAACATTTTTCCTAATCACCACCCCTGTGAAATTTTAATACCACAAACTGAATATCTGTTTATATACTAGATGAGTATATGTGGGTTTTTTTTTTTTGTTGGTTTTTTTACATAAAAAGAATAAGATTCTCTCCCCTCCCTGCCTCCCCGCCAAATAAAAACAGTTTTAGCTGCCTTGGGGGTCCTACTCTTCAGGCATCTATCTGAGGACAGCACCTCTCCATCTCTTAGTGGGGGGAGGTCAGACGGCGTGCCCACCTGAGTCCCAAATGAGCGAGCCCCCACTGAGCTTTGTCTGGGTTTTTACTCTCAACAGTGCAGCACCTGAGTTTCTTGCTGTCAGGACATCCCTGGTGCCTGGCGAGGTCTAGAGGACCCCCTCTCCTTACAGTCCCCTCCTAGAACTCATTTCTCTTGGGAGCTGACAGCTGTCCTGTGGGAGGTGACAAACGAGAGGGAACCGTGCATTCCTGTATTACAAAACAGGCATGACGGGATCCGCACAGAAATCAATAATGTTTAAAAACGTTTATAGTAATTGGACAGTAATGTTATTTCTGTCGAAGGTAATGATAAAACATAGGGCCAGTATTTTGTATGTCTATTTTTCACATCATTTTTCTAGTGATTCACTTTTTTTTAAAGAGACAGGGTCTCGCTGTTGCCCAGGCCACAGTGCAGCTGCACGTGCATAGCTCACCGCAGTCCTCCCGCCTCAGCCCCCAGGTAGCTGGCACTACAGGCACACGCCACCATGCCTGGTTTAGTAATTCCATTTTCTTATCATTTACAAAGGCTAGTGATCTCTGACAGATTAGCAATTTTAACAACTGGATTTCCCCCATGCAGTTTGAAACATGTTTTGTGAAGCCCTGGTGCAGAGAACAGGTACTATGGACTTTTGGAGGACCCGACCCTGCACTGTCACCAGATTGAGATGCCTGGGAGGGACTTGATGGAGCAGGTGGCACCTGAACTGGGCACAAAAAGA